CTTCGGATTACTCTTCGGCTTCGGTACACGTTCCCTTTCGGATATCTAGCTTCCCCTGGACTCTCGGCTCTTTCCTACGATCACGGTTTGCTTTCGGATTACGACTTGGCTTTGTTCGCTCCTGCAAGTGGGTTCACTCACTCGTTCGGTCCCTATTACCGAACTCGTAACATACAGGCCTCGGTTAACATGTTAAATGTTAAAGTTTATGACAGTACAATCAGAAAAAGACTGAACAAGTATGGCTTTCGTGGAAGGTTCAACCAGGAGAAAGCTCCTTCGCTCCAAAAAGAACATTGTACCACGGCTTAGATTTGCAAAGTTGCATCTGAACAAACCACAAAATTTTTGGAACAATGTACTTTGGACAGACGAGACCAAACTGGAGATGTTTGGTCATTATGAACAGCGCCATGTTTGGCGAAAACCTAACACAGCGTCTCACCACTAACACCTCATACCAACCATCAAGCACGGTGGTGGAGGGGTGATGATTTGGGCTTGTTTTACAGCACAGGACCTTGGCACTTTGCTGTCATCGAGTCGACCATGAACTCTTCTTTATACCAAAGTAATCTAGAGACAATTGTGAGGCCATCTGTCCGACAGCTAAACCTTGGATGAAATTGGGTCATGCAAAGGACAATGATTCCAAGCACACCAGCAAATCTACTACTGAATGGCTGAAAAAGAAAATAATCAAGGTGTAGGAATGGCCAAGTCAAAGTCCAGACCTCAACCCCATTGAGATGCTGTAGCAGGACCTTAAGAGAGCTGTGCATAAACGAATGCCCTCAAACATCAATGAACTGAAGCAATGTTGTAAAGAAGTGTGGGCCAAAATTCCTCCAAAATGATGTGAGAGACTGATAAACTCATACTGAAAATAATTACTTCACATTATTGCAGCTAAAGGTGGTTCTACAAGCTAATTAGTCTTCACACATGGCTTCGGCATGTTGGCTTATTTCTTGTTAAATAAAAAATGACATAGTGGAATCTGTTATGTGTTGTTTATCACCTGTTAGATTTACCTAATTTTAGGATCTGGTAAGGACCAGTTAATTTTTTATGTCCTGATATATGAAACCATAGAATTGAAAGAGGGCGTACTTTCTTTTTCACATGACTGTATGTCCGACTGTTAAAGAATCATGTTGCTCTTTTCAGAGAACAAAAAAGTTTTTTTTCTGTTTTCACATTCTCCTCTACCTCTACACTTCTCCTCACCCATGTTCACTCTCCTGTCTCTGTCTCTTACTCTTTCTCCCTGCTGTCCAGCCCCAGGTGTTGAGTTTGTGGATCAACACATGGCCGATCTCATTCAGAGGGTGAACCCAGTTGACCCCATAGCGGATGCACTGCGCTCAGAAAAGATGATCCATCAGGAGAGCTACAACAGGGTCC